CAAGGATCACTGGATGTTCATTCCCCAACAGTCTGTTTATTTCACCAAAGGTCTTTTAATATCCTAGGCAGGAATTATCTGTATTTATTGCCTCATCATTAATGTACGTTGATTACCTTCCAACCAGTGACAGAATTGTGTCCCTATGACATTTTCTCCTTATGGATTGGACAGTTTGTGGGCATAAACAGTTTTCTTTTTCTTTCATTTGCCGAAGGTGATGGTCCTCAACCTTGAGCCTCTTACCATAAGAGTAAAATAATTCAAATATGATGTTATTATATTTCCCCAGGCACTTAAGAACCATGAAAATACACCCTCTTCAGCTTTTCTGTCATAGGGACTACCCTTTCTGGATAATATTTGTCCAACAGTCTCTACATTATATTTTCCAGTGGTTTGTGATGGATTTATACCATTGAAATAGCTAAGATTGAAAGATAGAACTGTTCCATAATGGAAAGCCAGCAACAAGCCCCTCTTTTTAAATCCAAACTTATTCTTCTCCTTTTTTCAGGACCCTCATGACAAAACTGGTTTTGTCAAGTCTCTTTCAGATGTATTATTCTCTTGCTCCAGCTGCTCCACAGCTTGGTGAAGAAGCTTGTTTAGTTTTGCTTTTATTGAAAAAGGCATTTCTGAGTCTCAGTGCTGCCATCATGTAATGTTTCAAGAGCAGAACATAAGAGAATCTGAGAGATTCCAATAAAACCTAAGATCTGTCAGATCTCACACAGCATCCCTGGGTCTTTCATTTATTTTGATCTAGATACCTCCTTGACTCTGGGAGGTCTCCTGGGACTGTCCAAATTTCTTTCGAAGCCCAATTAAGAGGATCTAAGTTTTCTTCAGCTTCAGTATGCCTGTTTGGTCCAATATTCACCCCTGAACATTTGCTTTGCAGTGTTACAGTCTGCCTTGCTGTGGCATCACCATGTGGTATGGTCTTTTCACAGGACATATACTAAATTCAAATTCGGTCTTTGACAGTGGGAATTCTGTTCAGGGATTTTATGCAAATATTAGCTTGTGATATAAAACTGTGGTTGTACTAAAGTTTAAAAGTTTTCTTGGCATTTATAGGACTGGTGAGTACATTAGTGTATAAGTCCTTTTCTTTGCTGGCTAGCCAGTAATCTCATTACTTCCCCCATCATCATGTTCACATCAGCACCATGAAATACATCTTTATAATGTGTTAAAATTCTTAAGAGGGCCTTAATTAACTCTACTCTTCCCTCTCAGTTTTGCTTTGCAGTAAAATATGTGATATGAATCAATGCATAGAAGAGCTAGAAAACTTCCAAAAATGTTTTGTTGTGAACAAGAAACTTGTGTTTTCCTGTTGGCACCATCATAGTTGCACAGTGTCTCCCTAGCAGCTGCATTTCTCAAGTCAAACACTGCTTGCATCCTTGCACACAACTCCACTGGATGCTTCTGCCACACACATGCCTTACTCAGCTTTGTTTGCTTCTTAATTAGATTTTATTCCTTGCTGTGAGTTTCACTAGCCCCCTGACCATATGTCTCGTAAAGCACATGCTGGATTATAAAGTACCAGGCCTACTTATTTCTATAAGAAAACCCTTTTCAGTAGGCACAGGGAGCACTCCAGCTAAATACAGTACAGCATGTTTTCTTGGAGACTTTTGCAAGTTGTGTTCCTCTCCCCAAGTTCTTTGAAAATTGCTCCTGTCTTTTCCCTGCCTATCTCTTCAGTGACTAAGACTGAAATGACAATTTCTTGCTCTTGACAGTACTAATTCTTGATGCTAAGTGATTTCTTGCTCTAACTGAAAATAGACTTTTTTTTTTTATCCCCACAATAGTTCAAGGGCTAGAAACATTGTTGATTTTCACTGACATTCTCTTATAAAACTTTTGGCTTGGGCTTTTCAGCTACCTGCTTAACTAGTGAGTTAACCTGAATGAGACAGAAAGCTTCTACCTCTCACATGGTTTTATCTCATAGGAACTTGTAAAATGTCCATTTTACAAGCAGCATGCAAGAAGACAAATAGAACAGATAACACCTGTTTGGTCAACATGAAATGTGGATTAGATTTATGTTAGCCACATCAAATTTTATAATACCTGCTCTGTCATGGAGTCAGTAAATGTGTCAAATTGCTGTTCCATGGAAGTACTGTGGTAAAGAATCAGGTTGTGAGAGCTGCACTGCAGTCATCTGCCTCCAGGATAAAATCACTTTTTAAAGTGTGGGTGGCTTTGTTCAAAGAACCATGTCCACTTTTTAGCAGCAATTGGGACATCCGTTGAAATTCAATATTAGACATTATCTTGGCAATCAGCTTTGATTAAAAAATGTTTTTCCATGTAAACCACAGCTAGTCTGTGATGTTTTTTCCTGACATTTCCCTCGTTTGCTCCCTTTTTAAAAACCTTTGATATTTAGACAGACTACATATGTCATCCAGAGCTTATGCCATGGACAGAAATAACAACAAGAAAGAATAGATTGGTCCCAAGGCACTGAGTCAAAACTAAAAGCCAAATTATTTAACTAAGATTACACAGATTAAAAAGTGAAAAATAAAAGTATTGAAATTGGAAATAGAATGGGCAATAAAAAAGCAAATACAAAATTGTATGTGAAACAAACAATCCCATCTACTCCAAGGATACCAATGAGTGTCAGGGATATCCAGCTCCCCACAGTCTCAGTAAGACTTAAACATTGCTGGAAATTCCTGCATCCTCCATTTCCAGCCTCAGGTGATGGTTTCTCTGCTGGTACATGTTCTTGACTGTGGATTGACTTGCTGCACATCTGCCCTGGTTAAAAGAAGATTCAATTTATGAACAGAGCAGCTCTACCCTGCCAGTGGGTCATGGCAGGTAGAGCTGACGAACAGAACAAGCAGAAGCCAGTGTTTCTTCTCCTGGTGTTCCCAGAGCTGCACAGCCACCCCAGTGCTCAGCTCTGCCCCAGGGGAGGGCTGGCTGCCCTTACAGGTGTTTCAGTCCTCGGGCAGGCGTCCCTGGTGTGACCAGGAGAGCTGGATGTTCGCATGGCACAGCCCTGGAGGATTCATGTGTCTCCTGGGCTGGCTCCAGGGCAGACAGGGCAGGGGCCTCCTCCAAAGGACTCCTGGCAGGGACACATCTGGATTGCCTCATATGGAGAGGTGAGGAGATACCCTTTAGGCCATACCTAAGCACAGTCTCCTTAGCATTTACAAGGGATTTTTTTCTCCACACAAGCCCTCAGCAGCCTGTTCTTTCCACACAGGCACAAAGCCCTTAAAAAGCCACAGCTTGCCCAGCGGTGTGCCAACAATTCTGACATCAGCGCTGAATACTGTGTTTGGGAACACCATCATCAAAAGATGGGTTGTGAGATATCAGTCCACAGTTATAAAACCTTTCTCTTTAGTGACATGGGACAGAAAGTGGAAGAGACAGAGGAGCAGTCATGAAAAGAAAGTTCATGCAGTTTCTCCTTGCCTGCTCTCTCAGATACCCTCAATAGCTGGTCATAATAGTAAAGGAACCCATAGATACTTTATTTACAAAAAATCTAAAAATAATCAAACCCATTAGATAACTACATAAGCAGAAAAACAAAATTAATGTTTCTCCCTCAGTCTCAACTCCTGAGGACTTCACAGAGAAGCTTAACCAGCTCTATGTGGTAGTTCAGTAATATGTTTACCACTTAAATCAGATGACAACACAAATGGCTGGTAAACAGCTTAATTCGATTTCTGACAAAACTGATGGAAGCAATCCAAGAATGCCTCATTTTCTTTTTTTACTTTTCCATTGTGGTGGTTTGGGGGTTTTTCTCTCCTGCATCCTTTTCGGCAGCTTCATAATTTCTGTCTTTCTGCAATCTGCTTCCTTTTAGGTTTATTTTCCTCTGCTTATTTCCCTCCCACCTTTCATACCCTTTTTATTTTTGTTCCCTTACTATTTCTGTCCCTCTTCCCATCTCATGCATGTACACACACACACGATCAGATACTCAGAGTCCTTTTGATGTTTCCTTTTCTTCCCTCTCATCCCTTTGTTTTTCCAATGAGACAGCCAAGCCAAAAATGCCACAAGAACAGCTTGTGCTCATGATATGTGAATACTACAAAAGCAGTCACAGTCACCATATTTTTGCCAAGAGAGACGGGGAAGATGAGCCTTTTTCCACTGACCACAGAGGTTTCTGCTTCCTAAAATTCAAAATGCTCTCCTGCTTCCTTCTCTGTCACTTTAAGTAGCACAGCTGCTCCCTAGCTGGATGAAGACAAATTTCAGGAGGGCTACAATTCCCAGATTCATATGTCCCTGACACAAGCACAGGTTAAAAAGCAGTGATCCAACAAATGTTCACCTAATCATACCAAGTATCTCATAACCATGGAACAAGACAGCACCTATCTGTCACAAAGTATTCATAATCTGAATTAATCTAAGTAAATTATGAGAGACACAATGGATACAGAGAGAAAGGGACAGTCAAAGAGAGCAGTGAGAATTATTTGTCATCATGATGGGACCCAGGCTCAACAAATGTGCACTGTAAACACTGTTACAGAGCCAGAAGCTCAGCTCTTTGACAAAATGGGAATTCTTCCATGATAGTTCTTATGTTTATAGGACACATAAAAACATTAACAAAGAAATGAGAGAAATGTGTGTTGAACTCATTCCTGGGAGGTTAGACTCCTTCTCTACCTCCTTTGCCCTGGGAGCCTCTCTCTTTTTGGCTGAAAAACCTGCAGACCTTGTGCCTGCAAGCTGAGCAACTTTTAGTTCAGTGCAAGTGTCTTCAAGATTTCATCCTAAAATCTGCTTCTTTTTAACATGGGAGAGGGGTTTGATGATGCCTTTGTTTTTTTGAACACACATTTTAAGTAAAATTTCCGAATCTATTGTCCATATTCAATTTCAGCAACCATATTCCACTTGTAACATGCAAGTGAACAGATAATCATGTGTGACAGCTCTGTTTACAGCATAAATTCTGTAGTTTACCTTACCTTTCAAAGAGATGCAGCTGTTCAATCCTCCAAACAAACGTGCAATGACACAACCTCATTTTCTGGCACAGCTCCCTGAAAGTGGCCTGCCATGAAAACATGTAAAAGTGAAGTCAGAATCACACACCTGGGAACCATTTATGATTCAAGGGACCACTGGGGGCCATCAGGTCATATCCCACTCAAAGCAGGCCTCTAACTTAGAAGTTAGAGTACAAAAGCTGAGTAACAAGGAAAACTACAGGAAGCTGCAATACAGAGAGAAAGATAGAAATGTAGCAGTGCTGCTGGATGCAGAAGGAAGATAAACAACAATGGATAAGACAAAGGGAAGAGTCTGATTCAAAAGGGTGCAGACATAGCAGCACACTTATTTTCTACAAGCCAGACATTTGTCCTCTCCAGCACCAGAAGGGAAGCTTTCTGCATACACTTTGTTTGTTGATACTTCTCTAATTTTGCCAGAAAGAACTAACAGGCTGTAGCATTGGGTAGAAGAAGGAGGGAGAAGGGGAAGTACTGAAAAAAGACTTATTCCCTGAACTGCCATATCAGTACACAAGGACTATGCCCCATGCATTGGAGATTTATCTACTACTAGCACATTGCTAAAGGCCATTTGAGGCATTTGCCAGCTGTCCAGAGTTTTCTGCCACCATTTGGGAGGAAATAATGCAACACAGGAAGGCAGGGTAGAAAGAAGTAGGAGGATGGGGATTGGTGAAGTCACTCTGAACAGGCCTGGGTAGCTGGACCTAGACACTTCTATATTCCAGAAACATCCTGCCACTGTAGCCAAGTACACTGGTCATTGGATATTAATTCCCACTGAGCAGGCAACTTCTGAGTCATTCCTCCACTTATTTCTGGGCAATGAATCATGTTGGATTTGAGCAAAATTTTTAATTCTCTAATCTCACTCCTAGAAGTTAAACCTGGCCATGGCGTTGCCAATGATGCTCAGAAGAATTTGCCTCTGCTCTTTCCCCAGCCCAAAAGTTGCAGGTGAAAGGAGAGAGAAGGGCTGCCCATTATGGCCCAACCTTCACCTCCTCCTGCCTGCCTTAGATCAGCACTGAGGAAGGAGGAGAGGGGGGCATCTGTCTCTCTGGCAGCAGCCCTGATTGACTTCTCATCTCCAGGAGGTAAGAACTTGAAGAAGGCAGTCATGCTGGGATGTTACTTCCCACTTTCTGAAGGCTAGAGTTTCTCTGTCGCATCTGGACTGGCTCCAGCAGGAGCAAAAATGACATTCCATGTAGTGAAATAATGGATACTCTGCATAAGGTGGAGTGTTGCTGTGCCAGGTCAGCTCTAATCAGACCATTCTGCTACTGGCTTTGCAATGAATTGTGTGGTTACTGGAAAGGCAGAAATTAAAAGCTGTTTTTTGCATCTTTTTCTAAAAACTGCCCACATAGAAAACAGCGCTATACAATGGGGAAAGGAGACCAAGCTGTAGGAAGGAGGAATTTGAAGCAGCCACAAGGAAATCCCTCTGTGCACATGGCTGAAAAAGATCTAGTTGCTGTGGGAAAAACTTTGAAAATTCTTGTTTTTAAGAAGTCATTTTTGCTCAATTAGAACATGGTCCTCATATTATTACCCAGCATGCAGCACATTTAATAAAAAAAAAAAAAGGCTTGTATTTTCAAAGTATTTCTGCAGGGGAGATCAAAATGCTGCATGAAGAAATGGGAGCAGATAAAAGAGCACAGCAAAGCTTCTGAACCTACAGTTTCAGTTACATTTTGTGTCAGCAAATAATTTGCTTAAACTGCAGACTGTCACAGACAGAGGACAAATAAATGATTTATTCTGGACATAAAACTGCAAAAGCATCACTCAATTTCACTGTTTTCTATTAATGTAAATACATAAATTTCACAGGTGGTTTCTGTCTAAAGAATCTATGGCATCCTCTACTACTCTCTGTGCTCTGCAAGGGAAGAATACAGAATACTAGTTAGGAAGAACAGTAACACCATAAAAATGTGAAATAATGCAAGGGCAATGAAGGAAATGAAATCAATTTACTCAGTAAGCTCAGGCTATCATAACAGCACAGTTTGGGTTACAGAGATATGCATTTAAAGCGAGAATAAAAAATGTTTTTGTAATAATGTGCGTGAACTTAATCACAAAATTTTGGGAGAAAAAATCATCAGACATTGGAACTTTTCAAACTCTAAAGAAAAAGTCTTTAGAAGGTATTTCCTAGTGTTTGCAGAAGGAGTATTTTAAAATACTCCTTATCATGGTTGGCTTTGCTTTCTGTGTCCTAGCTACCAAATTTTGCATTCTTGGGCACCTCATGTCATAATGTGCCAGAGGGTGGCTTGTAAATCTTATACAAATAGAAGTTTTTATTTTTAATCACAAGCTGACTAATGTTTTCCAACAAAAACTAGTCCTTTCTTCAGTTCTCTCAGCTCCTTTCTTTTGCCATATTTCAAGGAACAAATGCCTACAAGCTGAGCTACATATTGTTCACCCCTGAATGTTGGGCTTTACCTCTTCCTCTTTCTCTCTAATTACTTCTATTTCAGTCCTGAGTGAGTGGAATGAAACAAGAACTTCAAACTTCAGCCTAAAGGCCAGCATTCCACTTTTTAGCCATCTGTGAAACTTTTCCTATTTTAAGTACATATGTTGGCCTTATCACTCCAGTGCCATAACTGTATTGGAGATTTTCAGCTCTGCTCTATCTGCAGGGATATACCCTGCTGCTATCCACCTGGGAGCTCAGAGGAGGGCTTAAAAATTGTGACTTGTTCAATTTCAGGATGGACGTTGGACTCGTGAACTGAAAATTCTCACAGCCTGCAGCATGGTAAGAGGGCAGCAGGTGTCCCAGTGTCACCCTGAGAGACAAGGCTGACCCCAACATGACGCTTAAACTCTTTGTGTGAGGCTGTTATCAGGAGAGAAGGAACACTCTGGCAACTCAACTCCAAAGGTTCCCAGCTGAAACTGAAAATGACTGCAACTTCCAGCAGCAATTACACCCCAGTGCAGAGACACAGCATGTCCACATGTGGCAGAAAGGAAAGGCTGAGTACCATCTTTATTTTTCTGCTTGGTCCTTCTCTCTCTGCTTCTGGGACCTAAAATAATCTGTCCCCATAAGATATGAGAGTTAGTAGGCTACCAGCTGCATGACAAAAAAGGTGGTAACATTAGCCCTTTCTGCCTGTTATCTCCTTTCTAAAATGTGAGTGCTTGACTTACAGTGTTTTCCATTATGCTTTGATGCCTGCATATCTATGTCTATGTAGAAATGTTTATTTGGCAATGGGTGAAAAAGAATATAAACCAAAAAAATTTTATTTTCTTAGGTTTTTGGCAAAGTCATGCAAAAACTTTTTCCTGACAAACAACAGCAATCGGGAGTATGAGGTAAAACCTGTTCAGAAGAGGGAAAACCAAAAGATTTGATAGCTGATATCCAGCTTCCTGTTATCCTCTGCTGTAACAGAATAAAAGAAGAGGAGAATTTTTCTGAAAGAGAGGAAAACAGGTAAGGTAGTTTGGCAGGTCAATAATTGAAGGCCTTAGCAGTGTGTGTGGACATAGTAGAAGATACCTTTGCGTATTCTGATGTAGTAATGGTGTTTTGTATGTGATATATGCATGGTTAAATACACACATGCTGTGTGTGCAGATATAACAGCATGAAATTCTAATACCAAGAGCATAAATAATTGTGTGTGATTGCACTGAAGATGGAGAAAATAAAGGTCAGACAAAGAGGATAACTACTGTCTATCTGCGTACATGCTGAGAAAATTTCCTGCCACATACCGTAGTGTTTTACCTTCCACTTCCGAGGAAACTTGTGGGGGTTTCATTCCCTGATCCTATTCCTCTGTACCCAGATGTTAACCTCACTCATGTGTTTTCAATGTGGCTGGAAACAACCATGGAAAGGAAAGCAAAACAAAGTGAAAATGAGATGGAGCTGACACTATGACAGATCTCACAGAATATTACAAACATTCCCAGTGCTCAAGGCATACCAGTGTCTACAGAGTCACATCCACTACAGCATCAACTGCTCTGAATTGAGCTCCATGTCTGTAAGAATCATTACATGTTCTTCCAAATCAGCATGGATTTTCAGTGTTGGAGTCACTGTGATTGTAAAAAGTCCACGTATTTTAACTTCACTTTTGTGGTTTCAGAATGTCAGAAGTTTTGTCTTTTGAAAGATTGTATTTTGAAAGTCAATGAAAACAAATTATTATATCAAAACAGAAGGGCATGCTTTTTTCTATTTAATGTTGTAAACCAGATAGTAACTATGAAAAGCAGGACTCAGAGTTTATTCTTTCTCTAGTCTTGGATTTAGTCCTGATTCCCATACACTGGAGAAATCCTCAGCTGATGCTGCTAGTCCTTTTACTGAGCAGAGGGTAGGAAGCGATGGTGGAGCACAGCAGCCATCAGTGACCTGGCCCTTACCTGCAAAGGCAGGTGAAAACTGCTCCACTGACCTTTAGAACACAAACACATCCAATAGGTAAAAGTTACATGCACTCAGCTCAAAATAGAGGAGACAAAACAGGAATGCTGTGTTTCCACAAACAGAGACACACTGTTAGCATTCAAAGAAGGCTGCTGGGCTTTGTAAAAGCTGGGGCTTCCTTGCCAAGCAGAACGTGTTATCCATCTTCCATAAAGTACATAAATCTGTTTTCAGCCAGTTTTCCTTTCTGAGAGTTTTCCAGATTCCAGGGTCTCTGTAAATTATTTTGCACTAAAAATGTTAAGGCTGACTTCAGTTATTTTGCATTGTTTTGTGTATATAGCCTTACATTAAACTGACCCAAATCTTTTATTCCTTAGCAGGACAGGGAAAATTGACTGGGACAAAAATGCAAGATAACCCAGCTCGAGAACCAGTGAATTCACTTGTGAAGAAAACATGATTTGCTTCATTAGATTTCATTCTCATCAAAGACAAAGACATAGTAATGAAATCACTTTTGGAGTGTCCTCTGTCAGTACAAAACTAAATCCAAAGGTTATTCAGAGGTAAATTTTGGTATGAAAAGATGATGCAGTAAAGTTTAGACTCAGCTGTGCATTTCAAAAGCATGGACTGAACAATTATTTGAGTACTCTATTTCCCTAAAATAATGAAAACTATTTTAATATTAGTACTGAAATTTATGGCTCCTGAATTTCCACATTAAGTTTTATTTTTTCATTTAAAAGTAGGTTCGATAATACACAACCTACTTCTGCAAAGCAGTTTTGGGGTAGAGGGAGGTTAGGATTACAAACCAAGCCAGCAAAAGTTTTCCTGGTCCCAGTGACAGAACACAAGATACATTTAAATGCAGTCAAAGACAATCTGCCATTCAGACAGAAATCCTCGAGTGTGTTGTAGCCATGGCAACACAAAACTCAGCAGCATCTACCCCAGACCTTGGGTGAGCGCCAAGGAGGTGTTTAACCCACGCTTAATTTTATCCTGCGCCTTCCAGATCCTAAACCAGATTACACCTGTCTTGGCTGTGTGCAGGTTTCTGACTGCCACGTGGCATCCATTTCTTATGATGAACATCTAGTCCCTGAAGGGGGAAGGAAGGAAGACATGCAGGTGCTGCAGAGCTGCCCCCACATGTGCAGGGAGGTCTCGCTCCACAAGGTGCTCAGCAGGATCGTGGCTGCTCCAGCATGGCAGGAATGAATGAGGATACATAACTAAATACATACATTAATTTCTCAGGCATACATACTAAACTTCTCAGGCAGGCAGCAACCACACAGATTCCTTCAAGAGCTACAAGTGGCACCTGCAGCCTTGTCATGGCTTCCTTCTTCTAACAGTGGTGTCTAGGATCAGTGAAGCCACTGCTTGAAGGACTAAAGAAAGAGTGAACAATATTTGGATGTGAAAACAAGAATCTTTTTGTGAGGAGTCTTGGCAGCTTGTCTGGGGAGAGATAACAGAATATTTCTCTCTGAGCAACAGATCAGCAGATGAGTTGTTACTACCTACTAAGGTGTAGCCACCAAGATGCATTTTTTCAGAAACACTTGTCATGTGTAGGAGGCAGGCAGAAATGCTCCAAGAATATTTTTCCTAACACCACTGAAAACAGAATTTGTTGTCTTGCAAAGTAACCTTGTTAGATTTCTGATTGCTGAGACTGGTTGGAGGTCTGCTTTGGGGTCAGAGCTAAAAGTTAGTTCCCCTGGGTAACAGAGAATGACATCCACCAGAGTTGCCTAGCGTTGTTTTCAAGAAGAAATATCCAGCACTGTTTCTTCAAAACGACCCTTGTCCACAGTCTAACAAATGTTCATGTGCCTACTGGCCCAGTGAAAGTTATTGCCAGTGGTTTGTGGAGAATTTGTATAACCAGTAATAAAGTATAAGATATAGTTAAAGTAAAAAATGAAGTTCTTTCAAAGACTGTTTTGAGGGTTTCTGGAGAAGAGGGACCATGAAAAGTTGTATCAATTAGCTGAACAGGAAATTTAAGACTCAAGTAATCAGCCCACTGTGCACCAAGCCTTGAAATGTCAAGAGAGCTCATTCAGACAGGTGAAAAAAAAGCACATTACTGATATTTCAGTCTGTTTGAATAGCAAAGCAACAGAGAATTAAAAGCCAGTACTTGTGCCTTTTCCAGAGGTTCAGGAGGAACCCAGCACTGCTCTTTTATTATGCTGACTTTATTCCATCTGAATATAGAGTAGACTTTTTGCAAGTTTGCAAGAATATTTTTTTGCTGTCTCAAATGCAACGTGTCCTGGGAATTCTGTGTAAGCCTGCACTGAAAAAGACTCAGAAGAAAAATAATGCCTTACTCTTCTTTCTGCCTTCCCACATATGACCACACCTATGTATTCCTAGGATAATGCAAATACATATTTTCAGAGGCAGATGATGGTTGATAAAAACTTTGTAAAATTCTCCATAGTCATTTATCTGCCAGTAGCAACATATCCATATATAGCAGTGATGTGGGCAGTGTTTTCAATTTACATGATGATCTGGGGATGGCAAATAATTTTTAGTCAAACAGCAAACAATTTTATACAGTGGCAATAAAAAAATTGGATTATATTTTTTCCAGAGGTAATCAAATCCAGGACAAGTATCCTTGAAGGATTTAGGATCTGTTAAGATTGTGGTGGGAATAAGATTTGTTCTTCTGTCTTTTGTTCCATGGATTATGCAAAATATAGCAGAGCTTGCCTTACAATTTTGAGCTTCTGTACTAAAAATGAAAATGATTGCCATCTCCTTTCTTGGCTGTTTTGCTAAATACTGCAAGAAAAGCCTCATGATTTAATTTACTGAACTTAACTTGTCAGGCTGTATCAGAAATACAAAGAACACTAGCTGTAAAAACCTTCATTAAAGACAGGGAAGAGAAAGTACTGCCTGCAACACCACCTTGGTGTTTATGCTCAGCACACAAAAGTGGTTGCCCTTAAAAACCTTATCAACCCAGAAGATTAGAAGGCACTTCTTGTCTCCTATTCAAGGGACTCGCATGGAAAGAAGAGTCTAAATCCATGCCTGAAAATGGAAGAACTATGACATGAAGATCTTGAAGAGATCATTCCTGCTGATATGAAAGATTTTCCACTTTTTGTGCCTAATCAACCCAACAAAAATGCTTGACATGTTCCACAGAATAATGAGTAATCTGGTGCTTACTGGAGTCAAAACACTTGAGATTTGCAAAGTTTTTTTTTCACTGAGCATGTTAAGTTATCCCAGCCCTGATTTGGCAGTAAAGGACAAGGATTTAGACAGCTTTAGTCAGAAATATAGCCCAATATCTGCAAACTTGTGTGTTTTAACATAGATCACACAGCAGCACTCAAATGCAAAATGCACTTATTACAAACATCCTTTGGTAAACATCATTAAATAACTGCAAGCATCAAAGCACAAAATGAGATGTCTCATTTCAAAAGTTTTATAAACTGTGATATTGCTGTCAAAAGTATGGTTTTAGAGCAAGTATTAGAAAATACTCTGCAAAAGCTAATCTTCCCCTTCTGAAAAAAAGCAGCATGTCTGTTTGGTGGGTTTTGATAGATGTTCTGTGTTTATACAGACTCCTATTTTCATTAGTCCAGGAAACAAACAAACTTTCACAGTATTGTGTTTAGTCCAACACTGCAGCTGAAAAGAAAAAAAAATGCTGGAATGCTGATAATAAGAACATAATTCTCATTTAGATTTTTTAAATTCATAGTATTACAAGATTTTCTTTTTGTCTTTCAGCCTATCATTCTTTGGTAACAAGTTTTGAGACTAAGAACTATGGATTCCTATGAGGGCTTCAAGGAATTGAGGGTACAATACAGCAATATTTAGGTAGAGAAGAGTCTTTGGAGTTTCTTCAGTTTACCAGTTTTTAAGGGAAATCTGGTCTCCCTGTTTGATTATTCTGTGCTGTTGGCTGGTTAAATTAATTCAGTTATGTGTTAATATTTTTGTCTGACTGTTCACTGTTAGAGCATGTGAGCTTTTACCTTTGGCAGAGAGCTCCATGTTAAACTCATATGAATTTGGACAGCTGTCAAACTTTGTGGCCCTGCTCGTCCTTCTCCCTAAATCCTAAATTATTTCCCCTGATACTCTGACTTCAAAGGTGCACCATGGGTTTTTTGTATTTCACAGTACGCATGACATACAGCATTTTGTTGGATGGATGCCTCAACGGATTCATGGCATCCAACTGATTTCTTGGAGGCCCCAGCAGGGCTGTTGGGACTCTTGACACCACAGATAAGCAGCTGATGGAACTCTCATCTAGACGAAAGTGATGCAGTTGAGTCCATTTGGAAGCTTGGTTGCAGCACTAAGAGACTGGGCAGGATGGCTGCTGAACTTGTGGAGCACACGCCAATTGATGCTGCAGTGAA